GGGGGGGGGGGGGGCAACTTCATCTTACCTGATACTGAATGCCCGACACGCCATTGGCCGCCGCCTCCCCCCCAGGCGCAGTGACATAGATGGGCTGGCTGGGGAGACCCCCGAGGGGAAGCACGTACTGGCCGTTGGATGTGACGATACCGCCATTGGGATCATCCTTGGCGGCCGAGACGGGTGTTAACACCTCCCAGCGATCTGATGCGGACAGCTGAATGGCAGACATGTCTGTCGTCTACGGAGATCGAAGATGTGCGGAGTTTAGCAGATGAGCGAGAGGTAAGCATTTCATCACATTTGAAATCACACAGGTCTTTGGGGGGGTAATGGCCTGTCCATCTCAATCCATCCCGAATGAAGAAGAGCGGGGTCAACCCTGAACTGGTTGCCAGTCAAACACAGGGTACATTTACACAAACAATCATTGACTCTGACAATATCACACCTTCTGTTTCTTCATTGAACCATTATGAATGTTTTTGGAATGTGAGAGGAAGCGAGAGCAGCGGGATAAAACCGCGTTCAAAGTTTTTATGGTCTGATTTTCTGTCAGGTTTGATAATGTCGCTACTGTACATAGGGAATGCTGCACTGACGCTCGATTTGAAGACAATCCTGACTTAAATCAAAATAGCAACATCTGTCACAAAAATCATAATTGAATGTTTTCCTAAAATCGTTCGGCCCTATTACAGAGGCTATAATACCTGGGCAACATTTACCGAATGTAAAAAACTTCGAGGTGAAATCTTTAAGCACAAATTCATCACATATTTTGCTCTGTTTCTGCAAAATATTAAGTAAATTGGTTTTTGGGCTTCAAAACGGCGTGTCTGCTGGATCCCTACTAACCCCACATCACTGTTTTGTTTCCCTATCGTGATTGGGCAATGCTGTTACATGTCATTCGATAGGGTGCTTTATAAAGAACATTAATTCATTTTTAGATTTGAGACTATATACATAATACTACTTAGCATGCGTTGGGACTTTCGAGATTGGTTGAAGACATTTTCATGTCAATTAAGGCCCTGTTTTGATTCATTGATTCAATGCTTTACAAGACTTTTTTCGGATTCACAGAATCACTGAACGAAAAAAAAAAAAGGTCACACCTAAATCTCGACCCCCTGTTCTCTTGGCATTTACACAATGGTGAGGAAATGATTCAAGGGTTTTAAAGACTCATAAGTTAGTGTGTTACTTTCACGTTTATATTTTTATAACTATCACTGGAACCGTTCGTCTTCAAACGATCGGTCTGACAACGCTGGTCTCGTGTACGTCGATCAAATCCATCTTTGAAATTTGACACACAGAGCGACGTAGGCCTACTGGTGACTAGCGAGCAAGCAGAGATTCGAACCCGCTTTACTGTCAGGCACACGTGCCGACCACGAGCGCACCACGGTGACATAATGTAAGCAAATGGGTCCAAATAACAACACAGGCGAGTAAATATATAACAAGAAAAGTGTTGTTTTTCTTTTTGAAGCGAAAAGGCTGGCGAAAGCGCCGCTAGCTCACATAATGGTGGCTAGCAGGCGAGTGGGGGATGGGCGGGATATGAACGCTACTGTTTTTGATTATGGACGCCGAAGCCGAACGACATTATCCCGTCTGTGGCGAGCCTCCACCCGCCCTTTTCGTCGCGGAGAGAGCGCCGAGCGACTGTCCCCAGCACGAAGCGACAGTCTAGCAGCGTCCTCCCCACTATGGGCGGGTTTTAACGGGCTAAGAAGTGGGTGGCCGTTGTAGAGAGTGGGGGGAACACAGGAAGTGTACTACGGCGTTTCACCCTCCTTCACCCTTCCCCACCCCCAATGGCATCAAAATTTCAAAACGTGCGAACTTCTACGCTCCTCAAACACAACGCCGTACACGACCCGAGAGGGAGGAAACCGAGGGCGACAAAATGTGGCGAGTTTACCTGCGGTTCCTGAAGAAAGTCGCTTTGACTGCTGTCCACGTCCGCGGACGCCATTTCTCCCTTGTTTCACTCGGTAATCTTCAACTCCCGTCGGGCCTTGAAAGCCCAGCAAAGCATCCCCCGTTGCGACTCTCGCTCGGTCCTCCCTCCCCGCGAAAAAAATATACTTTCCCACCTTTCCCCACCGAGCCACAACTCCCGTCAACTTTGCAGGGGCGCGACGGGCCAGCGGGACACGGAGAACGGCTGTTTACAACTCCGTCGCTAGCCTGCTAGCTCGGCTGTTAGCTCACCATAGCCGAGCTAGTTAGCCGCCGAGCAAAAAAAAAAAAAAAAAAGGGTTTAAAAAAAAAGACGCAACTCCTGTCAATAAAACTCACCGCCCGGGTCGCACGTCTATTCGCTGAATGTTTTAATGGTTTACATCCCGAGCGGGGACGTTATTAAAAGCCGCTCCAAACATGACCATTTCATCATAGACTGGCTACTAGTGTTGATCGGTGAATTCGGGTCGATTTTTTTTTTCTATTTTGATTGACGGTGCGGGAAACACAAAGGGGAGGAACTTAGCGAGGTCGACTATGTAATTTGCATCGCATTACAGGACGTCCCACCCTTCTTCTTTACGACGATTGGCTAAAGGTTCCAATGGATCGTCACCTGGTTGGCTGGCTGCATGTCAATCAATTGAAAAGTCCGTGTATTTCCTGTTTGGCGGAGTTGGTTACAGGACTTACGGTAACTTTTGTCGAGCTTTTAACTTTTAAACATATTTAAAAAATCCTAATATATACATATTATTGAATTATCAACTTTGAAAAATATACAAAAATGTTCTACTCTATTAAAAAAATGCATCCAAGTAGATAAATATGGAATGTGAACCTCCTAATTACCTCCTATAACCTTTTGTGTATTACCATGACCTGAGTGGCTGAGAATCTTATCTTCACGGATACTAAGAAAAACTCCTTTTTGCATGTGCATTGGCATTTTTATTGATATTATAACATTACGTTAAAAATGACTTACCAGCTATTCTCAAAGTGCGGTACAAGCGCCACAACTCAAGTGATATGCAGGCTCCCTCTAGTGGCACTTGGAAGAACGACTGCTTGAGTACAGTTCAGCTTTATTTAACTTTTAATGCATTGCAATAAATATCAATTGAATCATTATTGAGGTAGTGTTCTGCTATTTCAATGTTGTCTTTATAGTAGTAGGAGAGCGAAGATTTATTTTCAGGTGGTAGTTTGTGTCAAAAGTTTTAGAATCAGTGACTTCGGCAATTATGCTATGAGGCTAATGATAAGCAACAAGAACTGCGTAATGAGACGATACTTGAAATGGAAAGATAATGACAAAAATGTCATGGCATGGACTCATGAGTGGGTTTTGTCACATTTTATTGACCCGTGCGTATTGATGATGAGGCTGACATTTTTTTTTTTTCAGGCAACGTTGACAGTCCACATGATGCTGGAGCAGAATGAAGGCCTTCTGTGTGTAGTCAATAAAAAGCAAGGTGGGGATGGCATTCTCTTCTTTAAAACTAATGCTTGACATTCTTATTTCTTCTTGGGTGCATTCGGTGTGTTGAATTTAAAGAAGATAATGTCACCGTCCTCCACCACGTAGTTCCGACCCTGTTGTCTGTATTTGCCTGCAGCCTACAAAAGGTGGGAGTGAGTATGTAAATAGAATACACGTGATCAAAATAAATTCTTTTATCAAATAACTTGTGAAAAATCAAACCATATAAAAATGTCAATTTCGATGATTGACCCTCAAAAAGTGTCATTACTCCCGACACGCCGTACCTTGGCTGCATTTTCGCTGCCCTCCTCTTTGAAGTCGACAAACTTCATCACCTCGGCCATGATGAAGCCCTTCTCAAAGTCAGTGTGGATCTTGCCGGCCGCCTGTGGAGCTTTGCTGCCTTTCTGTGGGTTTGCGGTGATAAAAAGAGTGAGGTTAATTTAAATAATAACCAATCCCATAGTATTTCCCCAGGTAAAAGTTAGGCTGAGTAAGTCTTGGAAATGTCTTTCTTAGTCAGTGTTCCTTTACATGCATCTAGAAAAATCTTAACTGTGTTTGTGATTTTTTTTTTATACACATTTTTATGATTTTGTTTGTGTCTTTTGGCGTGAGTTTGATTCTGCATATATGATTTGTCAGGATGGGCAAGGACCGATACCAAGTATTGGTATCGGGCTGAGTTATTGGGATCTGGTGGAGACTGCCGATACCAGTCATCGATACTTAAGGCAAAGAATATCTGACATTGAATACGTACTCCTCAGGAGTAGATGGCACTCTACGGCCATAGTCTAACACATTGATGAATCATCATCTGCGTCAGAAAGAAAGGTTTTGTTGACAATGATTTGTCATTGTGTTAAATGTATTTCAAAGATCGAAAGTACGGCACTCTGTATCGTGAGTACTCAGAGTGAATATCTGTGCTGGTCTTGAAGATCCCACATGTTTTGTGTGTATATTTGCATACGTGTGAGTAATTTGCATTGGCCGTGCATCTTTTGGTGCAGGCATTGCAGGAAGATAGAAAAAGCTCAACCAGAGTTAATCCTTTGATACGCGCTGAGATGAGGTGGTAACACTGAAGGACACGCTTACCCTGATTGTCCACGCTCGCACCTCGTCCGGTCCTGCGGTGAAGAAGTACTCCAGCTGTAGCGCTGCGTAGCCCGTCTTGATTATTTTGGTCAGGACACTAGAAGGAGATCAAGTCAACGGCATTACGTGTCACATCCGAGGTTATAACAGTTTTGAACAAATGCGTCCTCTAATGTGAATTGAACACGTCTGTGATGTGACCTGCATGAGCACAAAGCACAACGTCGAGTGACATGCAAAAAACAGGCGGCAGTGTTTATGGAAGTAAACATGATCCAATGTGTAAGGGCTCATTTTTCATCTTATATCGACAGCTGGTTTTTGTTTCCTATTTTTTTTTTTCAATATTACCTTAAGTTACTATGTTCGTTTTTAGTCACTAGAATAACCTTGGTCACAACACAATCACACTTCATTCAGGATTCGGGATGGAGGCATGACTGGATGGTCTCATCGGAGGGGAGCCAATGTCACCTTTGTGTCTTTTGCTCCTCGCAGTATTTTTGCTGCTCCTCTGGCTCCATGTCAAAGAGTTTGGACTCCAACGCTCCGCTGAGGGGGATCACCATGGAGCCCGGGTCGTGAGCATCCACCCACTCCTTGATTTTAGCCAGCCTCAGAGAAGAGAAGAGATGCTACTTACAACATGACAACACACACCTCCATCTATGCATTTAATGTAGCACTTGTCCTCATAAGGGCTGCGAGCCAACTGGAGCCTATCCCAGCTTCTTTGGAAAAGTGTGGTGCACACTGGACTAACACCCACTAAATCACTGGTACACAAACACATACCACTTGTTCTTTTTGCGGATGTAATCCTTCTCGGAGAGGTTGACCAGGTAGATCATGGGTTTGGATGTGAGGAACAGGTACTTGTTCAAAACCTCAATCTGGAACACGAGCACAATTCAACTGAGCAAAGTGCCACCTCCAGACAAGCACGCCGAGCCACTAAACGAGCGGTGAGCCGGACGTACCTCTTTGTCATTCCAGTCCCGGCAGAATCGCACGTGTTTCTTCTCGTCCACCACCCAGTTCTTCACCTTCAACATGATGTCCTGAAGAGAGAACGCGCTCGTCTGTCACCTCACTTCCATCCGTAAGGACAACAACGGTGCAAAGGTCCTACGTATTCCGGTTTAAGCTTCTTATCGTTGCCTCGGACCGCCGTCTTCTCCAGCTTGTCCAGGATGGGCGCGATCATCTCCTCGTCCTTGAGCCGAAGCTCCTCGTGGATGATCTCCATGTCCCGCACTGGGTCGACGTTACCCTCCACGTGGATGATGTCCTCGTCATCAAAGGCGCCTGGGGGGAAAAAAAAAAAAAACACAGCAGGTGGTGGGCGAGGCAGATTCTTGCTATTTCTTTGCTTGTGTGTCAAACAACAGCAGCTCGTTCAGAACACTGCAGCTCGGGTTCTGACCAAAACAAACAGAAAATATTCAGGATTTACAATGGCTCCCAGTCAGCTGTAGAATATACTTCTGCGAGTGATTTACAAAATCACCGAGTGGTTTAGGTCTTGAATACATTTAAGAAATGCCAAAGGAATACAAACCCAGAAAGGGATGTGAGGTTTGGAGATTTGGGTAAAGTCGTGGAGCTCAGCCCTCAGAACAAACATGGTGAAGCAGCATTTTGAGGTTATGCTGCACACAAATGGAATAAGCTCCCAACAGAAATGAATTCAGCCCCAAGTTAAATCCAGGTTTAAAAACAATGCTTTTTCCTGTTTTAAAGCATTTGCAAAATCACCCCCCCCCAAAAAAAAAGGCATTGTTTCTGTCTAATATTGAGCACTATTTGGGGCAGTATCACACTGGCTCTCATTAGACTTGTTTTAAACAGTTTGGCTTCAGCGCTCTGGGCTCCACCTGTGCGCTTCACTCAAGTTGTTGGGTGACAGCAGCTGCAGGGCAGACACCGACTCACAACTCAACTCACGTGTCATGTGAAAGATGCCGTCGCAGGCGCTGATGTGGGAGAGGAAGGCGTTCCCCAGCCCTTGTCCCGAGTGAGCGCCCTTCACCAGGCCGGCGATGTCCACCACGTTAAGGAAAGCGGGAACCTTACTGAGGAGGAGATGGCAGCAGCGTGTCATTGGTGGTGTATGTATGGCCAACCTTCCTCGACACACCAGAACATAACTATGTCTTTGTTGAAAAATTCAGAGGGTTTATTTGCTTTATTTTTTTGCAAAAATGCTTAGTTTTAGTTGAGTTCTTATTCGTTTTTGTATGAGTTTACTCATCGATGGCAGTGAGTGGGGCATGACCGTGTGGTGATGTCAGGGGATGGAGTCAGGTTCGCTGTTCAGTGTGAGTATCTCGGTATGAGTTCAAGCCTACAGCAGCTCCTTGAGTGTTCTCATTTTGTATTTGAGTGAATTTATTCTGGTAAATAAATGACAAACTGCATCAGTGACTGTGGCTCACCTTACCCACTGCAATGGCATTACAAAACTTTAATTGCTCTTTTTTTCAATTCACTCAAGCAGAGGTACAGTATATCTGAAGCTAGCTTGGCCCCTATCCACTGCAAACACCTTTCTGTATAAAGCACACACACCTGGCTGGTTTGTGATATTGGCAGAGGAAATCGAAGCGTTCATCGGGGACGGGCACTCTGCTTTCGTTGGGGTCGATGGTACAGAATGGGAAGTTCTCAGCTGCTGCTTGGCTTTTGGTCAACACGTTGAAAAAGGTGGATTTCCTGCAAACAATTAACCCCAAAATATGTAATAACAAAACGGCTCACGTGTATCCTTTTGTACCTACCCTACGTTTGGCAGTCCCACAATTCCAATTTTAAGCGACGTCCCGAAGCGTCCAATCAACTGGGGCGGCTTAGGTGCTTCTCCCTTCTTTGGAGCCATCTGCAAGAGTGGCGTCAGGTTACCATTCAGCCACGATACATTCCCCTGAGTAATATTCCTATTTTTATGGCTTCTTGAGACACGTTTAGATTTAGCTTTACGCGAACTGTAGTTAAAACGTGGAGCTTCACTTGCTCATTCCATTACGATTTATGCTAACTTTAGCAGGCGGCTAACATGAGCCACTCCTGAATAAGTAAGTCCGATCGAGTCGCTGATCAATTATCTGCACGGGCAATAAACTTAAGACCTTACATTTTGAGTTTAGATGTGTGAACCATTTTCATGTGTACCTTTATTTCGGTTTCTACGTGTCGTGCACTTCGGCGATTCTGCTCACACTCACCACTTGACTGGGAAAGACAAGACAGGCTGCAGCGCGAGCTAAGCGGAAGTGTTTTGGCAAGCGAGCGTTCTGATTGGTCAATGCGAAAGCGGAGACTACGTCACAGGTATGTGGTATTTTAATTCCGTAATAACCAAAAAAAAAAATAGGGTCAAGTATAAAAAGAAAACCGTAGAAGCACTTTCCGCTTTTCTAAACTATATGAACACAACACAATTCACTCTCTAAAAATAATTGCCGGTATCGGAAGTGGTTTGACAGTCGAGCCTCTCGATTGGTCAATGTGAGAGCGGAGTGGCAGCGCGAAACCATTACATTTTATGACACAAAAAAAAACGTAGATCCACTTTGAAAATGTTCTTGCTGGATGGTATTTGATAAACAAGTGCTCCGATCGGTCGATTGGAGAGTACGACATCAGATCCGGTATATGTCCCACTTACTTCCGTACTCGGCGAAACGTGCAGAAGCACTTCCTCCTCAACCACATGAATGGCCAAGGGACACCACATGCGGGAACTTTAAATGTCTATGATGTATTTTTTTTTAAACACGACGCAAGTCACAGCAACACCTGAGACGACAATAGCCGATGTTTAGCCTCGTGTTTTTACACATATACTTGTATAAAGGAAAGACGTGTACCTAACGATCTCCCAAGACAATTTTTCTGACATATTCGAATTGTGCCACTAACCTGGTAGTTATAGCGGCATACACAAAGCGCACTAAACTGTTTTCCATGTTTGGTCACGTGTGATTTTGCATAGACCACACATCGAATCACGTGACATTAATATTACATTTACCTTGTTGAATCCTGTCAAAACTATGTACTTGGTATGGGTTATCTGCTCCCAATCAATTGATGTCTTCATGAGCGTGTGTAAACTATTTCTTTAATCGGCCTCAGTCATGCCTTCAGACAATATTTGCACTACTATACTGTCATGGCACAATTTTGAAGAAACATGTAAATGGAAAAAAAACAGGCCGACAATGCTTTCAGCTTTTATTTGAAAATCCACATGACAAATGTATGACACATACAAATCAGACCTCCAATATACGGTATATAACAAACTGCAGAAGGGACGCAAGCCATTTATATACAGATTATACTGTGTTCGGAATTTCGATAAGGAAGCTCACCGTGTCAAACATCTTCAGTAAGAACTTATTCTGTGAATTGTGTCCTCATGACTTGAGCCTAATGCGGACAAATGTTACGACAGGGAAGTTGAACTGAAGAAGAAAAGCTGCTGCATTCAAACCTACCAAGTGGACAAACCTACTTGTATAAAAAAACATCTAGACTCCAAAGTCAGTTTTACACTACAAAACGAAATTCTATTCTTTTAAATGTTGCTTTTTTTGGTTCTGCCCCCCCCAAAAAATGTCCAGATTTTAGCAAACCAACATTCAAGATCAGGAACATTGTGTATGTTATCCTCTGAATTTTTACAGTTAATTTTTATCCCCATGCATTTTCTTTGTAGGTGTGTGTGCTGTGCTGTGACTGGGTCAAAACATCTAAAAAAAAAAAGACATCTTTAAAAAAAAAAAAAAAAAGAAAGAACATGGACGATTCACTGCTCAGTAGTGACCTGGTGGAAAGAATGAGAGGGAGACATGTTTTAAAACGATTAGTCCATACATGAACACCGCTTTTCCTCATATAGTGGCCTCAGTTGAAATTTCATGAGTGGATGAATCCCACACCCCAAATTGACATCTGTCTCGTCTCCCCTCAAGAGGAAAAATGTACCAGATAATTCACCTTTACTAATCACTTATAACCCGATGACTGCGCTATTATCTTTACCAATGTCTGCACAGAGATGGGGGTCTGGAATGCTATTTTTGTAAAATTTGAATATTTCATAAATAATGCTCTCATTTTAATATTCTGGTGTAGTATATGGATTAATTTTTTTTAATCATATCCGTTTCCATCTTAGATATCTGTACATTTTGGCATGCGCCAGAACTGAACTCCAAATTTATTGAATTCGGAGTTGCCAATGTGCAACACAAAAATGCATTTTTACAAGAAGATGAATGCTTTTCCTCCAGCAGACTCTTGGTCCTCTGAAGTCAAAACAAATGCAAGCTGCCACCCACTTCCTGAGGAAATGCACTAATCATGCGTGTTGCCCACTTATCGGGTGTCATACATACGTGGGGAGTAGGATCGTGATCTGGATCGAGAGCGGTATCCTCTGCTGTAGTACGGCGATGGAGATCTTCGTCTGTTTGGACAAATAAAAGCAATTCGATTAAACCATCAGGCACATGAGATAACCGGACACAGAACGCCTACCTGTATGATCGGTACTCCCGGTCATCATAGCGATCGTAGTCCCGATCATAGCCGCGATCATATCCGCGGTCGTAGCCTCGGTCGTAGTCCCTCGACATACGCCTTGATGAGCCGCCTCCCCCTCCGCCGCCGCCGCCTCCGCCACTGAAAACAAGAGTGACGAAGCTTCGTGACATGATCCGACATTTTCCAGCCGACAGAGTGGTGATGAAAACACTCACTATGTGGGTCGTCCCATGTAGATGCCAGGTGTGGGGGTGTGCGCTCGTTTGGTAATGGAGAAGTCCACGCGGATTCGTCGGCCGTCCAGCTCCATTCCGTTGGCATGCTCCTTGGCCTGTACACCAAAAGGACCGTCCAATGTAAAAACGTTGCTCTGGTCAAGCAACTATGTTGAAGTGAGGAGAAGAGCTTCATTGTAATCAGCCTAATGGGAGTGGGGGGAGCTTTGCTTGCATCTTCATGTAGAACTGTCAACAATATACTTCATACTTTACTTTTCTCTGCCACAGCCTCCAAAGTCAAACAATTCCAGAGTAAGCAATACTCACCTCCTTAGAGTCCTCATAGTTCTCAAAGTAGACGAAGGCAAAGCCCCTGGAGCGTCTGGACTGCTGGTCGTAGACTATGTTGACGTCTGCCAGGGGGCCATACTTGGAGAACACTTCCCGCAAGTCCCGCTCAGTCGTGTACAGGCTCAGGCCAAACACGCCCAGGCAGGTGTTTGGGTCAGGGTTGGCCTGTTAGCGGCAGGACAAGTTCAACAATAATGCACAAACACCGAACCCAGACAGTTAAAATGACAAAATATTGATCGGCTTATTAAGTTTGATTGTATCTGTATACAAATCATGAGAAACAATGTACTGCATAGTTACCCTGTTGCCAATGTGCCTGCGTCGGTTGGACATGGGCGAGCGGCTATGGCTCCTGCGCCGGCTGCCAGAGCGGCTTCGGGAACGGCGGCGGCGGGAGCGGGAGCGAGAGCGGGAATAGTTCCTTCGTGAGCTCCGGTGGGAACGAGACCTAAGAACGGGAAGAAGGAAGTCACCCAAGACATTCGCGATTTTTACTTGGAAAGCAGAAATCAGGTGCAGATTTTTTAAGTTGTCATGGATTGAACTGGTAAATTTGTCACAATGCTCAATTTCAACTGAAATGGGCTGAGCATTTTGAGGCTGGAATGTTTGGTTGACGAATGTGGATGAGTAGGTGGCATCATAAATGGAAAAACTAAAGAATTTCAAGTTCATTCTTTGCAAATAAAACAACACTTTCAAAGAAAACAAAGGCAATTCAGTCATTAAAAACGTCATGATTTCTTTCCACTGCTGTGATATGTAGCCTTGTTTAAAATATATAAACTGCTTCAATCTTCTTCTTGCTGCTGCTTCATTTCTTTTCGTAGTTTTACCAAATTTTATCTGGGATTGACAAGCAGTTTGAAAAAGACATTTTATTTCTTACTGGAGAATTGTTCGGCATCTTCTGAACTACACACCTCAAGATCAGGGATACCGCGCGTCCAAGTATCAGTAGTTAAATAACAGTACCCTTTTTAATGATGAGCTACTGTGGTACACGTTGTAGTACGAGCACATCTTGCAACCCTTAACTCGTTGGTACTGAATGAGTTAAAGGGTCTTACCTAGATTTGGATTTGGATCTGGAGCGCGAGCGAGACCTCGACCTGGAATGCTGGGAACCTTCCTTGGAGCGTGCCGGCGAGCGGCTGGCAGATTTTGCCGATCGCTGTGGGGAGGAGCTCCCCGAGCCAGGCTGTGGCTCCTGAACAAACCGGACAGCAGAGTTAAAACTAAACAAGCCACAGTGGCATCAAGAAAGAATGATACAAAATGGGTGACTCCACTCGCCCTCAAAACCTTTTAGAAGGAGTTTTTTTTTTGTTTTTTTTTTAGATTAGCAATTTTTGTGGATGAAATACACATCAAATACATTGACAATGTAATTATTTAGCTCAAGAAAAGATTGAAATAAACATGAGGGTGTGTGGGCGCTAGCGAGTGAGAGTAACAGATAGAGGAACATTTAACATGCATGATTTAGAGAAAGAAGAGAGAGTAGCAACATAATAGGCTGTTAAGAAATTACTCCTACCCGGCCAAACTTCTGATCATAACTTCATAACTTCTTTTACTTCATTACTTCAAAACAACCCGTCATTTCTTCTTTCTTCTCTTTGACATTACGGCGTCTTTTTTGCTCCTCTTCCCCAATTTTACCATCTGCCATTACAACGCTAGTCGAGGGATAGGATCTTGAGCGCTTCTTTTTTTCTGCTCCCCATACATTAGCATGCATCAACGGCATTGGCTTCAAACATTAACAACTTCGCATCTGAAACGTCTTCCGCCTTTTTTTCTTTCTTCCAAACTCAACCTTGACAAAGAACAAACAAGGGGGTGATAAGGCAAGTTTGTTGGTTTGGTTGCATTTAAATACCAAGAGGCACAAAGAAAACAACAGCATTTCCAGATAACAGCAACAATGCACAAAGGAGTATATTAGGGGCTACACTGAATGGGGGAAACAATACTCCAATATAAGGCTGTGTTCGGAATCATACACTTGCTACAGTTTCCTTAATCACTACATACATACCGTGGCTTTCTGTAGTGGACAGGAGTTAGGAGCTGCAGCAATATAATAGTTTTAGGATCGAGTTTTGATCAATCGGATTTTTAAAAAATGATCTGGATTAAACATGTTCAAGGAAGGTGCAAGTAGGTTTTGGTCCAATTGCAGTCGCTATGCTCACATTATATCGCATCTTTTGCTTTGAGTGTGGATGGCTTGAAAAGGGAGGCCATGGCTTGCTGAGTGACATGGGTCTCAGCCGTTACACTGACTGGGTCTGTGTGTGGTGTGCAACACACACAAAAACATACACAACGGAGAGTGTGTGTGTTGTGCTCCCCATCAGTCGTATAAATTAATAATAATGAGAAAAAAAAAAAAGACTTCCGCTCACTATAAATTTTAAACAGCACTACAAAATGGCATACTTTAGGTACAATTTATTAGACAAAATGGCTAGATGGGAAGTGATTTCGAACGCAGCCCAAGTGAATTACTACAATAATGTTGAGCTATTGTGAGAATGAAGTGGTCAAGGTGCAAGAAATGAAAGACACCCAATACAGGGTGTCCATAAAGTCTCTTCCCAATTAAAAAAAATACCACAAAAAATGAATACAAAACTGAGGAAATATCACAGAATAATATCCAAGTAGGGTAGTTATTTTATAATTTAGTATAATTTTAGGAGCTAGCGTCTCAAATGCAGTGTGATTTCTAAAAAAAGCACATCAAACTACATCTTAAATTGCATGAACGCGACACTACGACCGCCATTTTCTTGTAGTGGGTCCACTTCACTCTCAATCTTTGTTTTCAGTGTCGCCTAATCTACTCCTTTGTCATAAAAAGATCCATATACAATGTAGAATATTGCTCAAAAAACATTTACAGACACAAATATTGCAATATTAACGTTAGCTTTAGTACTGTCGGCAACGTTCACGTCGGTTGAATGAAAGCATGGCTCAAGGCGGCGTGGCCTCGTCACAGGAAGGCGGCTCGTTGTAGGCCGCAAGCTTCGAGTAATGATCCGAATATAATTCTGAGATAAACTAATCATTTACACAAAAAAATATGCAATAATACATTTGTTTGGAATTGAAAAGATGCGTTGCCATAACCACAATAGGTAAACAAAGCTAACAATAGAGCTAATAGGCTAACGTTACCTTGGCGTCTTTTCCCGGCACGGTAATTTCGTTAAGAGTCAACCAAAACTCACCTTATCTCTGAAATCTTTCTCGGTGTCGCTCATACTCGCGTCACTAGTCACCTTTTAACCTAAGGCTAAGTGTGGTCGAACGATTAAATTTGTATTTTTATTAGTTTAGTTATTTTTAAAGCTCAAATCGCTTCGTCGCCGACCTCAACCAAAACTGGAACAAGCTGCATTTAGTCAGCTAAACCAATATGAAAGGACCAGTGTTCTTTTCCGTTTCCGGGTTTTTCGAAATAAAAGTTACTTCCGTATGAAGACTGTGCAAATAAAATAATTTGCTCGATAGCGCCCTCAAAGCACTTTATTTTCGCAGATCGTAAAAGTTTCGCTAGGATTACTTCAGTTGGCGAGCCTTAAAATTTCTGATCTAAAACTGAGTCAAAAATCGATGTGGGTAAATTGGAGTGGAATTATGACGAGTCAGATTGAAGTCGTGGCGGCACGGTCGTGGATTATTAATCAAGACACAATTAAGGCAGTCAGTCTCTCACAAACACACAAAATAATGATGTATACATAGGTTATATTGTAAACTTTTACTTCAGGTGGGGGAAAAACAACTCAAAAATCACATTTTAAAGCATGAATTTAAACATGCACTTGTATACAGTAGCTTGCTATGCAGAAAATACTGTACGCAGATGTGCCTCACTAGCAGTTTATTGATCTGGGGAAAACAAAAATATATACTCTCATTCAATCGTGTCATAAATTAAAAAATAATTTCACCATCCACTGTTTGTCAACTTTCCCGGAGTAATGCTTGAATAAATTAGTGTGCCTACGGTGCAAATAATGTAAGCGACTTGGCATATAATAACTCAGTCTGAAGACACAGCTCAGTATGAAGTCAACCTCTCCAGTTTCATTGTGAGAAACACTGAAAGGCACTTGTGGCAGTACTTCCAACACAATACAAAAACAAGGGACGCCAATGCTTGTTGCTTCTGTCCAAAGAATGTCTCCAATTACAACTCAGAGATTAAACAGGCAAATATCTGCCAATAAATTGTGTGTGTTCACACTTCAAGTCCTTCAGGAGTGTCGGCTGTTGACACGCTGAACTCTCTACAGCAGCTTCTGATGTAGAATTTCCCAAATCATCAGTTTCCGGAAAAGAGGCATATGCCACTGTAGAGGAAGGAGATGTTTCTTTTAACGTTTGGGTACGAAACAGTCTTGTCACTCACTCAGTCACAGTCAGTCTCACTCAACACACGTTGCCCCTTCTTCCACAAACACACACACACACACACACACACACACACACACACACACACACACACACACACCGGGTTACACACACTCGCCGCCCCCCGCTCAACACAAAGGTCCGTGTTTCACAAGCATACCTGTCTAAAGGTGAGGGGCTTTCCTTTAGCAATGTATTGGGCGTATTTACATGCAAACACGCCACAGTCACTGCCATTCTTCTGCTGAGGAATCTCCTAGAAGGAAAGGGACAGCATTAACATTGCATGTTTCCTGATATACTACAGCCGAGGTGATGCTTTTTCTTTTTTTTTTTTTTTTCTTTTAATTAGAATGGATGAAGCACCCAGCAATTGATTACAGTGTGAAGTAAGGAGGTAGTTTTTTTTTTTTTTTTTTTACAATTTGAGAACTTTACACCAATCAGATGGAGCAATGTAGATTATTTAAGGTAATGGTACCAGTGGGTTCCTTACAGTGGGCCGCATGCAGCTTACAGTCCACTTGGTGGTGTCCAGCTCTCTGCCTTTCTTTGCTCTGTGCTCCTCATTCAGGTAGAGACTGGAAAAAAAAGAAGCAGACAATAACTAGAAAATTCAATTTCTCGAGAAATTTTGTCGGATTGCTGAAGACCATGAAATTGATCCAATTGTTTATGTTCAAATTTGCTAAACCTCTCCATTAATAAGGAATTTCCTCAATGGGATCATGCGAAAATTGCCAATGTTTGGAATATCATAAAAAGTAGCATGAATGAATGAACTGAGCTTTTTGAGGTCAGAATGGTTTCAACCGAGTGAGAAATTCGGACAGATGGTAAAATTGAAAAACGTTATGATGTTTGAAATGGGCTTCATGGTTGAAAAGTTGCAGCGGTCATCAAAATGTATTTTTGGTGGAGATGAACCTAACGTGATTAACTTGTTCTTCAGCAGTCACACACTTCTAAATGAAGAAGCTGAAAGAAAAAGATGGCAAGAGGGGGATGACACGAGGACTCACAGCAGCAGACCGCAAATGGCATCGTGCCTTTGGCCCATCGAGTCATACAACTTCACTGTCTTTGCTTTCAAGTCTACCACCTGAGAAACGAGGCATATTATTATATATATAATTTTTTTTTAAATAACGCACACGTGCAATTCTAGTGCGATGTTGTTGACTCACAGCTAAAGCCCAGTGGACACCCATGTGCAGCGGGACCAGCAAGAGGTCGCAGAGGAAGATGTCCACGGCTTTGGTCCAGCGCTTAACGGCGGCGTGCCCTCCGGCGTGCCCGCCCGGCCCGCCACGGAGCTTGGGGTAGAAGAAGGTGCTGAACGAGTACACCCGCATTCCGGTCGCCGTGTCGGAGCACTGTTCCATGACTAAGGACAGGTAGAAGTTGATCACCTGCACATGAGGACAAGGTTGTTACAGGGAACGAAAGCTATTGAAATAACTAAAACGAATATTGAAATAAAAGGTTTGTTAAAAAAAAAAGAGACAAGAGAACTGAGACTACATTGTACATTTATAAAACTAACTATAAGGTGGCTCAACAATTTATTTTCCGAGATATTTTGGGTGCCGAATCAGTCCTCGTTTTTTTCCCTTTGCACATCACGTCACAATAATAATAAGAATAACAAGAACAATAATAATATGTAACATAGTAATATCATTTGTAATATTTATGAATTAAGGGTAAAGTTCAGTAACAGGTGAAATTATTTTCTGAAACATCATAGCTGTATATTACAGTGCAAGTATTATCTGTATTGTGCAAGCTTTTATAGGTCAAAGTTTCCAAAAAAAAAAAAAATCTCAAAAACCTGATGCGCTAGAAAAATAAAGAGAAACTAAAGTTTTTTTTAAATTAGGGTCTTCAAGATATTCATAGTCTATGTAAGGCATATGACATACACACTACAAATACCTCATCATTGAGCCAGCCACCTTCCTGAAGAGTGGCCAAGTCTCTCTGCGTGATGCGTAGCTTGAAAGCGGCACTCAAAACCAAGTTGGCGTCACTCTGAGCCAGAGCAGCGCACACCTCAGCTGCCATCTCCTGCAAAGGCACAAATAAATCAAAGACAATCTTTCCTTTTAGGTTTGCATGGTGTACTGCTACTAGAAAAGTGCAGTGGAGAGACTTCTGCTTTAGGGGGGAAATTAGCCCTCTCAGCATGAAAGCAAAAATGGAATTGGGCCACAAATACACAATTTACAGAAACGCGACGTCTGTCAAAGGCAGTCATACCTTCGTGAGTCGGGGTATATCGTCATCTGTGAGTCGTGCATGCGTGGCGAGTGTGTGGGAGACCACCGGGCTGACGGCAGGCGTCACTCGGTCCACTAAATTGAGGCGAGTGGCAACTTCTGTGGAGAGGTCTAAGTCGGCTACTGATTTCTAAAAAAACAAAACCAAACAGGTCAATACCAATATTTAAAACCAAGGATAATGTGTGGACTTCAAGAAAAAAAAAAAAAAAACCTTTGCACATCTCACATGCTGTCTCTCGTCCGGTGCTCCTGAGTAAGACTTGCTGAGAGGCAGGGTACCCCATCTGATAGAAAATAAAATGCATTTACAGCCACAGTTAGAGGGACAATAAATCGGAGGTTCCCAAAATGAAGATGTACCACGATGACCTTGTAACCCCCCTGGCCCTGTATGAACAATTTAATTCGACCCTTGAGCACAAATGTCTTGACCACCTTTTGTGTGTATTATCTCCATATAAGAAAGAATTGCACCAACCTGCTCTTATTTACAGATACAATTCTCCGTGTGAGCACAGTGGCGCTCGCTGTTCCAACACAAACAACATTCATTAGCACATTTTATTGCTGTACATTTGTCTGAACAATACGCATACGGAGGGGAAGAAAAAAAATGTCTTTACGGGAATAGGCTATCTTTATGGGGGTCGACTCAAAGGGTTTCCTCGTCACTGTGTGTTCACCGTGGGACAGCAACACACTGCAAAAACAATTGTAATGGCACTATCAAGTCTTGGTACTTAGTTCGCAACGGACTCAAATATAAGTACTACAGTCGTCTGGAAAAAAAAGAGGTATCGGTGCATCCTGGTATCGAGTATGATTCTACTCACGCATTTGGTTTTGTTTGATTGAAAGGTAACGGTTGGCTTCTGCTGTATTTTTCCGTCACCACCTCCAGCAAGCGTCTGTAGTGCTCTTTGTCATTCTGCTTGATCGTCTATAGGGAAAGAAAAAAAAAACATTTGAAATGTTCCCATGTAACAATTTTTCACCTGTTCAGATGAGAGGCGAAATGTTTTCTAAGACGACAGGAACCGTCCCAGTTGCGATCGATTCAGAATTTTAATGACCTGGATGAACGAGCATATTCCTAAACCCGACGCACCTCTTCCACGGTGAGGCTGGGTTTGTAGCAGCGAATGTGTCCAAAGCTGTTGCAACTGGTCTGGTCGGCATTGGGCATTCCCACACTCACAGCGGGCCGTGAAGGCAGCAGCTGGAGGGAGCCTCTCCTCTCAGAAGACACTGTGTTTCCACTGTACACATAAGGCATAACAATTTAGTGCCAAAGTATTTATTGTTATTATTAAAAAAAAATTATGAACACATAATTTCTGTTCCTTTTGTCCCCATCCCAAAGCTGACGCGGTCAAAACAAACGACTTGCCTGAATTTCCTCATTAAAGGAGGCAAGGAGCTCTTGAAAGGCTTGGGTGCAGCCCTATCGCACGTTCCAATCCCTGATTTATCTGCGGACAATGAACCAAATTAAAACAGATTATACAGAGAGAGAGCGTATGGTGGATAAATGACATTTTTGTTAATTTTGCAATTGTCTATACACACCCATTCTCCAGTCCGGGCTCGTCAGCCACGGCGTTTGCAGCTCATTGATTCCCAAAGTGACAGACTGGATCAACACAGGAAATAATGTTTTTGAAAGCTATTTATAAAAAAATTTAAGACATAAAAAAACACCCTCTACTCAAAAACATAAACTTGGCTGGGCAAAAAGGCCTTAAAATAAAATCTCAGATTTTCTTCACAAAAATCCTGTTTCTGATTTTAATCAATTGTCAAATTATTAGCTAAAATTGATTGTGCATTATTGAATTCACGTGACTGACCATTAGTGGTAAATCAGACAATCAACAGCAGATGCATTCCTGTTTTTCGCAACAGTAAAGAAGTGTAGCGGGGATCTCCCATGGAACATATTTAGTGTTTCTAAACCTTTTTTGGTTTATTTGTTTCCACAAGATGGCCCTGTAGTTGGCAGCAGTTTTCAAGAGCTCAGCTGTTTTTGTTGCTGTTGTTGTTTTTGTCATATGGTGTTTGTTGTCCTTTGTGTGAACCCATTGCTGACTGATCTGAGCAGTTTGACCGTGTCATTCGTTGAAGGAGAAAAGTCTGTGTTTCATGGTTGCACCTTCTTGGCAGCATGTGTGTAACAGAACTGATTTTGATGGGGGGGACAAAATTTGCAGTCTGGGGGGGGGGGGGAAAGTGTTTCATTGCACAAAATAAATGTTTCAGAAAAGAACTGTACACAGTTCAATATAAGTGCAATATAAAATAAAGCATTAAAGCAAAAAAGATGTATGTTGTATAACCTTAACTGAACCCAGACACTAATTGTACAAAAAAAAAAAGAAAAACGATCACTGCGCACCACCGAACAAAAATACTGAAATAAGTACAATAGTAATTAATAATTTTCAGACATATCAAGTGAAGTTTGATGGCACCCAGGTTGGAATCACTATTAAGTAAGAGACAACAATTACAGTGCAGCTCTGCCTCTGGCTAGCGGATGTCATGACAAGTAAATGTCTTACTTTCACAAAAGTAATCTAAGTACTCTAAAACGGTTTTAAATAGCTGATTAGAATTAATCCCCCACCCCTCAAAATGAATAATTCAATAGCGAAAACACAAACCTGCGTGTCCTTATAGTGTCTGTGCTCGTTGGGGGTTGATATCAGTGGTTTGTGCAACCGAAGCAAACTTGCGACCCCGGCCACAGTCTTCTTGACAAAACTTATCACCACATCTACTTAAATAAATAAATAAATAAATTGATTCGGACATTTTTAAGACAGCGCAAGAAAATAGTGATTCCTTTTCCATGCACAGACCTCGCCTTCGTCTTTTTGCCGCAACCTGCTCGCTCTGGCCAACACCTTCTGCTGCATCAACACTGGAAGAGGCAGAAAGTGACATTAACACGAGATGTGCAGGTTATGTAAGCAGTTCCAATACGAGAGAATAAGACTAGTTCAGAATTTCACACACCTGAGTCAAGTCTTGAATTATGTTAATGATTCATCAGTTTTTAAAAAATTTGATTTTCATCTGGGCCTCATATTAAGATGAACGCAAAGACAACATAGTTTCATTTTTAATTGCGAGACAAGACTGATGAAATATTTCTGATGAAATATAGTGTACTCATTGTTCAAGTATGATTTTTGAGCGTACTGTACAATAATTGCGAATAACAAGTTTAGTATAATTCCTTGTGGAATTGTGGGCGGCATGCCTCAGTGGCCGTGGTCGTCTCCCAACCCAGAGGTTGTGGGTTCGATCACCGGAATTTGTGACCATGTCGAAGAAGCCCTTGAGCAAGGTACTGAAGCCCCAGTTGCTCCTGATACTGGGCCATCAGTAGGTGAATGAGAAATCAGTGTGAAGCGATTTCAGTGCATTGTATTTTTGAAAACAACTGCTGTGACAATTTCAATTCCCCCAAGGGATGAATCTATATACCTATAATGAACTCGTAGGTGTCAAATTGAGCTAGCTCGCTAGCTTGCGTGGATAATGTAATATAACGGCACGCAGAGACTCAAAACAACGTCAGTCAGTCGATTATAACGATGACAGAATCAACTTATTTTAGGAGAACCAAAATCGAGTGTTAACTGATCGGTTACTAACCTCTGGTAGTTTCTCTTGACCGGTCTGCCGTGGCTCTCTCGCCGCCGTGCTAGTGTGCTCGCCAGCTCCCCGTTATTAGCTTGGCGGTTTTGCCCCGTGGCGGGCTCGAACAACGACGAGATTCCGTCAAATATCCATTCATACATCCCAGACAAATGTGAAAAAAATGACAAGATGGTCCTCTTCACGGGCCAGGACGGTCTCTCTTCGTATCCAAACAGAGAAAAAAGATGTACGACACAGTGGTATCTAAAGCGAAGCTAGTTTAGTACCTTAGCTTCTAGCTTGGTGTGTCACAATGTGCGCCAGGCGTATCTGGAGTCTTTTCATCGAGTGGGCGGGGTTCAAAGTTCCAACAGGAGACCACTTTTCCAGCATAGTGCGGTCGTTCTCATTCATAAAACGAACGCACCTAAAGACGTTGACACCAAGAAGACGTCAGGAGAAGAGGATTGGGGAGGCTGAAATCCGCTGTCCATATTACGTAATTGTCAACAATAACTAAAGAGATTTGTTTCGGTTTTTACGATGTGTGTGTGCGTGTGCGTGTGTGTATACAGTATATGTATATGTATTTGTGTGTGTGAATAATTTTGGTCTTGTTCAAATTTAGTGAGCTTGTTTTTGAAATTGATTTGCAGTACATTTTCACCTGCACTAAATACAGTATTTGCATTGTCTGCAAATAATATAAATTTGAATAATACTTATTTCTCGCATAGGTCAATGATGCTAAATAATTTCGGACTCAACATTGACCCCTGTGATACCCCACACAATGTCCAAGCAAATCCTTTATCTAGTTCGATTAAGTACTTTTTTAATGTAAGTTTACCCCGGCTCTTGTGCAAGTATTACATTTCCATAATTGTTGTAATGTGTTTCTGAATATTATATATTTGATTGTATCAAATGCTTTCATTTAGAAAAACAATTGCACCACCAGCATATTTCTTTACACCATTTGCACTTTCATCCATTTGTTTCTTTATTTGGTGCTGTTGATGAGTTGCTTCTAAAGCCATATTAATTACCACTAAATTATGCTTTTCGATGAGATAATCAAATCTAATCTTTTCCAGAAGAGAGACAGGTCTAATTTGTCAAAGGTGTTTGCCTCCAGTTTTGAATGGAGAAAATCTGTTTTAGCAGTTTTCACATAATTGGGCGTTACCGAACTGTAGTGACAGGTTAAAGATGTATGTTCTGAGAGTCTACATATGACCGTTCTTCTTGTTTTCATGGCCATTTCATGATAATCATTGTCAGTGGATGTCTTGGTTTTGCATTTATTCACAAAATCTAAGAAAAAAACTCTTATCTACTAAATTTGAATTCTGTTTCTGGAGCTTGGATTTCTTCAAATAGATTGGGTCCAATATTTACACAATATTAGTTGAATTCAAAATGGCCTAGGTTTGTATATAATAATTCTTCAAGTAATTATCTTTATTACAATCTGTACTACTATTGAACTTCTTTAGATAAGCATTCTGAAACCCCTTTGACATCGACTGATTAAGGAAGGAAGGATTGAAGGAAAGGATGGAAAGAAGGTAGGACAGAGGCAGATGGGATGAGGTAGGGTAAAACAGGATGGTAGGAAGAAAGGAGGGGAAGAGAGTAGTAAGGTTGGTACGGTAACGAATAAACCAAAGACTAGTCACTTGAATGGTAAAAATCACATTTAAAATTATTTATTATTACAACGGTAGAAACATTAATATAAAATGGCCAGAACAAGGTACAACCAGCATGTATGGCTCAAGGACTTTTCAAAACAAACAAACAAAAAAAAACATGCATTTGATGATGCACAACACAAGCAGAAAAATACAATATTAAAATAAGTGGGGAAAAGTCATTTGACCGGCATACCTGTGAGATGCATAAAAAAAAGATATAAAAGCTTAAAAAATACTTTGTTCACAAACTTAAACACTATATACATGTATAAAACACACTTTTGGATATTACATTGACGTAAGGCAAAGACAGCTGCACACACAGGAGATACTGACGGTATCAGTGGTCACACTTCTTGGGGTCATGCTGGAGAACAGAAGGACCTAAAAGACAAGGCGGTTTAAATGTCACTATTCTTTATCTTATGTTATAAAGAGTTAGTGTGAGGGGAGAAAAGAGAGGTGTATATATATAACATATTATATAACACACACACTATATCTATCGATCCTACCCACACACACAGTATAGCTATCTATCCTACCCAAGTTGATTTTGCGCGAGAGACAGGGTGGTATACAGCAAACTGGTCCCCTGCCGATCTCAGTGCACATAGACAAACTCACATTCACAACTGCGGTCAATTTAGAGTCTTCAATTAACCTACCATGCATGTTTTTGGTATGTGGAAGGAAATTGTAGTACTCCGAGTAAACCCACGCAGGCACCGGGAGAGCATGCAAACCCCACACAGGCAGGCCGCAGCCCAGATTGGAACTCATGACATCTGAACTGTGAGGGGCATATGCTAACCAGTCATCCACCGTGCTGCCATCAAAGATCCATCCACTGAAATAACAGGAGACAAGGGGGAAAATGTGCTTGAAGGTGACCCGAGCAGCCGTCAGCAGCCATCCCAGGAGGAGCACTGTGTGCAACTTTTGCACTCGGACAGCACGTGCGGGCGGGAACACTCGCACTCACCTGGGCTGTGCAGGTAAAGAGGTGACAAGCAGCTCAGGTATAGCCACGTCCTGTTCTCCCGTAGCCAGCGCTGCCGATAGCCAATCATATCGGGGGAACAGGTCATCTGTGAAGTCCATCCCATGATTCTGGGTGGGACTAATTGTGTCTGCTGTACTAGGTTGGAGCGGGGGGACGATAGAGGACATTTGGCAACGTAGTCCCAAGACGACATTGGGGTTGGGTGGATCGTGGTTACTTGTAAAGTGAGAGGAAGCATGCTTTTAAGTGCTGTTGTCAGACCACACCGCATTTGGTCCAAAATGTTATGATTTCATTATAAAACTGGGTGATTCATCAATTTTGGATTGATGGGTCACTATCACAATAGGGTGAGGCTTCCCCAAATCGCCATCCCAAACATATAGGATTTTCTAATTTACATTGCCAAAGACGTGGTGGCCATTCCAACGCTATTCTTCGACATGTTGGAAACGTTTGACGCAAAGTATGTGCTTGAGGAAAAAAAAAAAGCAGGAAAGTACTGGAGAGGATGCAATGTTAGCCTTTCACCATACAATTTGATGGGCAATTTAGGATGAAAAAAAATGTCCATCAAGGGAAGAAGAATCTATTTTTGTACATTATCCATAATGAAAAATAGATTCATTTTTATTATTTCTATGGAAGTTGATACAAATCATTCATAAAGGCCCGGCCTATTATGGCGTATGATACTTCAGCTCAGCAAGTAATGTCAGCAACCAGTTTGTTGAGTCACGACAGAAGGATTCCTCCAATAGCCACAAAAAGGCAACCACTTGTTTCCTACCATCGCATGGGCTTGGTCTTTTCTGCAAACTAGCCACATGCTCTGTTGTATGGCCGGACTTATACTGTGTAGAACGATCAACAAAATGCTCTAATTGAACATTTCAATACCTCCCATCGTGAGATTACCTCCTGTGATTCAAACTGACAAAGCAAGCGATCCAAGAAAGACACCCAAGTGTCGACGTAAAACCCGTCTGTGAATCCACCTCATTAAAATCCACTGGCGCTGGCTGCCTTGAATTAATGCTCACCTGGCTTGGAACCGACCAGTCGATGCTGGACCTTCTCCAGGTGGTTGATGTATTCAGTCAGAGACTTTTCTGGCTCTTGAGACATTGCCGCGGAAGCCTGAGTTGAGCTGGAACAGGACCTACAAAAAGCGGAGTGACATCATTTATAGTTCATTCAGCGTTCATAACAAATCCACGCGAGTCAAAAAGCTCTCTTCCTTAAATAAGGAAAAAAGTCTGGATATGTTGGATTTCTCAGAGCTGGTGTATTTTCTATGTGAGGCGAGCAGACCTGTTGTGCAACCTGAAGTGTGATCTTAAATAAGGAAAAAAGTCTGGATATGTTGGATTTGTCAGAGCTGGTATAGTTTCTATGTGAGGCGAAGCAGACCTGTTGTGCAACCTGAAGTGTGACTTGCTGGGCGAGACAAGAGCAGATGCTGTGTCTCTGTTTGGTGGCGACTCGGAATTCAAACGAGCCCGCTGATGTTGTTGCTGCTGCTGCTCTCTTAAAACCTCGCCTTTCAACCCTAGGATGGACACAGAGTGAAACTGACACAGTCAGACACGCGCACACACACGAAATCCCCAAATGGCGTTAATGGTGTGCATCTAAAGAGCTGACCTGGAGCGTGGACGTTAACGGTTGCGCAGCCAGGTAATCGTCTGATGGCTTTGTGCCACTTCCTGGTTAGGAACTTCATTCTAGCAAGTGAAAGATTTAGTTTCAGTTTCACAAGTACTAAAACATTAATTCTTCATCAGTCTCCCCACACCACTCGTTCGATCCGCACCTCGAGATGGCAATGACCACTCGTACCGCTGACCGAAATCTTCCGAGGGGCCTCCGGCACGGAGGCAGTGGCGACGGTCGTGCCCCCATGGTGGCGATCAGGCACAGGGTGGCCTGCTCGCACTCCTTGAATCCTCCAAGCAGCAGGAGCAGGTAGCGTTTCTGGTACACCAGAGCTTTCCGGAAGCTCTCGGCGCGCAGGTAGCGCTCGTATAAACGCTGCACCTGGAAAAGAAAACATTACAAATTGGTATTTGAACTAGAGAACGAGAGCGAGAGAGAGAAAACTTTGTGGGAATAGCCAGCCAAGCGACCGACCTTGCTGGGGGCCATTTCGCTGATGGGTATGTTTTCACTCTCGATGGGTACTTTAGCAAGCTCATTCTCGGCACGGTGCAGCTGGCGTTCCAGGCAAGTGACTTTATGTTTGAGGGCGGTCTTCTCTTGGCTCAGCGACGTCAAAGTATGAGTCAACTCGGCATTCTTGCTCAGGATTTTCTCCAGCAAGCCGGACGAGGGAGTAGGCGCCACCTATAGCAAATAGGGAAAAGGCACTACGTCATTCGTAAGTAATCTAACAATATAAATCTCCAGTTCTTGATGAGCTTGACATTTTAATCCAGGAAACCCAGGTTTCAAAGAAAACATGGCCAGTATTTGCCAAAGGACTGCTATTGTGATGTGAGTTGAGTTCACTGTCCCCAAACAGTGTTCATACCTCAAGTTGGAGCTAGAAAGCCAAAGGGGATGGAGGGAGGAAAAAAAAAGTTTTTCTGCGGTTCAGACAATTTTCATTAAGTCTGGTCACCCAACAAATCCCTTCTTAACATAAAATGTGCAATAGTTCTACACTTAAATTGTTCTCTTGTACCTGCTGGCGATGTTGTGAGGGCTGGACATCGGCATTGGCAGCATCGGCGCTCTGTCCCGACATCCTCTGAGCCGCCATGTCTCGCTGCTCTCTTTGGAGCTTGCTCAAAGTGTGTTGGAGTTCCTCCATGCGCTGCCTGTCTTGCTGCCTCAACAACTCCAAGTCGCGCTTCAGGGAAAGTAAAGAAAAAGAGGGTTCAAGGGGTCTATCAGGGCATGTTGTCATTGCTGTATATATATTTTTTGCAGTATAAAATCCAAACGGAATATGTAACGTTCAACCTTTTCTTTAATCTTGTTGAAGCAATTCCTCGTGAAAGGATTCAACCTGACGCTCAAAGAATGTTTGCAGAGTGGCGAAAAGATCAATGAAGATTGATCAATTTAAATATCTAAAACTCAAAATACCGAATATTAAATGTGAAATTTTGCCGTATTCATGAAATTTGCACTGGCCCAACCAGTAAACTTTGATGCTAGGCCTGTTGTAATCCAAGAACCCCAGTGTACAGATTTTACCAGTTTGTTATTGGTGCTCTCCTGCCTTCTCTCCCTCTCCATCTGCTCCTGCGAGCCCTTTTGGCGTTCCCTCTCCCATTCTCTCTCCTTGTTCTTCAGCAGTTGCATCCTGTCCTTCAGTTCACTGAGCTCTGCACGGTGCGCCTCCAAAGCAGAGTCAACCTTCCTTTTCTGCTCCCTCAAAGCCTCCTCCCGGGTTTTGTCCTCATCCAGTCTCCTCCTGCTTTCCAAGACCTCCGCTCTCAGTTTGTCCGCCAAGGCCGCCAGTTCCTCCCCTCGCCTTCGCTCCTCCTCCAGCTGCAAGCGCAAGTCAGAGATGAACTTCCTGTCTCGGGCGCCGTCGACTTCATGTCTGCGGTTGATGTCGTCCATTTGTTTGGAGCAGCGTTCTAGCTCTTCGTCCAGCGCCCGGTGGGAGTCGGCCAGCTTGGAGCGGATTTCGGCCAGGCGGGATTCCGATTGGGTCAAGAGGCGTTCCAGACGGGTGTTCTCCTCGCGTTGCTCGGCCGAGTGCTGGCGCTCGTCTTCGAGCTTCTTCTGCAAGTCGTCCAAACGCTTCTCGAGCACGACGCTGCGGGACTGCTCGATCTGGAGCTCACGTCTCAGGTTGCTGCAGGCCACCGTCTCCTGCTCCATGAGACCCTGAAGGGACTGCATCTCGGCCCTCTGCTGCTCAGAAGACGCTCGCATAACCTGGTGGCAGAAGTGTGATGTTTAGGTTAGATAAGAGTATCAAATGACAGACTATGCACGTTTAAAATAGAATAAAGGGAATGTCATCCCTTTTTTTTTTTTTTTTTACAATATGCTCTATGCGCATCCACTAGTCTAAACACGAAATTTTGAATAATACTGTGTTGTGGAATATGAGTTAAGCGGCAAAATTTAGCTTTTTGTCATGAGCATCATGTAAAGGTGAGTTGAATAGAATAATTGAACAAACGTTTATGTAATATCGGTTCATGATTGTGCACACGCTAGACACCAAGTGTTGACACTTTGCTAATTTGATTATTCTTTGTGTGATAACAGACCCCAGTCAATAAATCAGTCCTAACAGAACACCAGAAACCCCTTTAATCGCTTTACTGGCATCAGAGTTTAGTCCATACCTCTAGTCTTTGCTCCACCTCATTTTCTTGCCGCACGTTGAGAGCTCGTTCTCGTTCCAGCTGCTGCTTCAGCTCCTGAACCAGCGCCCGTTCCTTCGTCAAAGTCTCCTCGCATTCCTCTACAGTCAACCTGCGGGGTCAATTTAGTGGACATAATATTTCTATGAGGTACAATGATGAACCATGAAGGAGTCAGGTTGCTGCAGGCCACCGTCTCCTGCTCCATGAGACCCTGAAGGGACTGCATCTCGGCCCTCTGCTGCTCAGAAGATGCTCGCATAACCTGGTGGCAGAAGTGTGATGTTTAGGTTGGATAAGATAATTGATGAGCATCATGTAAAGGTGAGTTGACTAGAATAATTGAACAAACGTTTATGTAATATCTGTTCATGATTGTGCACACGCTAGACACAAAGTGTTGACACTTTGCTAATTTGATTATTCTTTGTGTGATAACAGACCCCAGTAAATAAATCAGTCTTAACAGAACACCAGAAACGCCTTTAATCGCTTTAATGGCATCAGAGTTTAGTCCATACCTCCAGTCTTTGCTCCACCTCATTTTCTTGCCGCACGTTGAGAGCTCGTTCTCGTTCCAGCTGCTGCTTCAGCTCCTGGACCAGCGCCCGTTCCTTCGTCAAAGTCTCTTCGCATTCCTCTACAGTCAACCTGTGAGGTCAATTTAGCGGATATAATATTTCCATGAGGTACAATGATGAACCATGAAGGAGTAATTTTCACATTTGGGATACCAAGGAAATCTTCTGTGTCATTGTGAATATAGAATCACATTTTCATGAGAAAAATGTGCTTTGTACCCGAGTGCCTGTATTTTGTTCTTTTGCTCCAGCTGCGTCTCGTGTGCATATTTCAGCTGCTTCTGCGTCTCTTCCAGCTCTGATCTTGTTTGGGATTCTGCCTGTAGATGCTCCCTGTCAGCATCACCTCTGGGGTCAGCCTGGAGATGGAATTAAAAAGTGAATACTCTAGAGTTCCATGCATCCATCCATTTTCCGATCCACTTTAACCTCACAAGGGTCGCGGAGGGGTGAAGGAGCCTATCACAACGGTCTTCCGGCAGTTGGCAGGGGACACCCTGAGCCGGTTGAGCTCGTTCTCGTTCCAGCTGCTGCTTCAGCTCCTGGACCAGCGCCCGTTCCTTCGTCAAAGTCTCTTCGCATTCCTCTACAGTCAACCTGTGAGGTCAATTTAGCGGATATAATATTTCCATGAGGTACAATGATGAACCATGAAGGAGTAATTTTCACATTTGGGATACCAATGAAATCTTCTGTGTCATTTTTAATATAGAATCACATTTTCATG